ATAGCCATTCTCCAGTAAGGTTCTCCTCGCTAGTTCAAGTTTGTCCTTTAAAGTATCTTCTGAACAGATGCGACTTGCTCTTTCATATGTTTGCCTGCAGTGTGTTCTTAATCAAAGGACATATTCTGTGATTTGAAAACCACATATCCGCCCGAGATGATAAGAGGGCTGAATCAGTTCCTGAAGTTTTCCACCAGACTCTGTGACACTAACTGTTGTGTGAAATTCATCGAGGAATGTATTTCTTGTAACCAATATCCCACCAATTATTGGAAACATCTACGCCGCTATCGGATCTATCCCAACAGCAAAACGCTCAAGCGTCATGTTCCTAACCAGTTGGATACTGATAAACCCTAAACCACTGTGCTCGAAAGAATTGTCACAATATCAACTGTCAGTTCAATCTTTGAGTGAAAATCACAGGAATGTATGTCTGGAATACCTGAAAATGATTTTTCATCGCAGATCGCAAGAGAAAATGTTGTCACTGAATCGTACACTGAGACCTCTCACACCGCAAGGATATTTTCCAAGCCATCCTGAACGGTACATAGTTTTTCCGGTATTCATCTGAGCGATATTCTGATTGAAGCACTAACACTTGGGTCCAAATTTCGTTGCTCTCGTCGTTAGGAACGCCAGATTGATTCAGAAGTACCATTTGAAAACTTAGTCGGGCAAACAACTGATCTCATAGCAACTTCTTCCGAAGATCTAGCCCGTTTTAAATCGTCACTGATTTCAGCTTGCTATCAATACCGACGTTACCAAATTCGTAACAAAGGACCTCTGACGCAAAAACACTGACTCCCAAAAAGACCTACAAAGTCACCCTGAAATCCTCTTAAGCAAACCTGACAAACGGACTAGCATTGTGTTTATGGATCGTGCCGATTACGTATCCAAAATGCTGCAACTTCTATCCGATCAACCAAAGTTTACCTGCGATGTAATTCAAAAGGATCAAAAGGGGAAAGCTGAAAAGCAAATTATTGATGCACTAAAACGACTCAGAGATCAAGGCTACATATCATGCTGTCTGTTTGAAGACCTCTAACGTGCCCAACCTATATGGTCTACCAAAATAAACAAACCTGGTATACCAGTGCGTCTCATTATCTCTATGACAAACTCACCTCAGCACGCAACTTCCCGTTGGTTAGCTAGACTTTTGGAACCTATACGTCAACGTGTCGCTAAGCATACACTTAGAGATACTTTTCAGTTTGTTTAAATAAATGTGAATATTAACAACCGACTGATGTTGTCTTTGGATGTTGTTTCTCTCTTTGCAAATATTCCCCTGTTAGAAACGGTTATTTCATTTGTGAATTTATAAACACAAACCATAACCGTGGGGATTCTTGTCCCAAATCTCACAGAATTCGTACTTAAATGCACACGAAATGTTCAATTTTTGTTTGATAACACTTTCTACCACCAGTCGATGGTGTTGCTATAGGTCACCCCTCGGACCTGTTCTCACCGACATCTTTATGGCAAAGTTAGAGACAACTTCCTTATCTATGGCCATTAGTTCTTTTGAACAGTATCACCGTTATGTAGATGGTATCTTTTGCGTGGCTAACAAGAACACTAATCTTGCCCATGGCAAGTCAGAATATAACACGGCAAATGTATCAACTGAATTCACAACTGAACCAGAGGAGAATGATTGCGTTCCGTTTTTGGATGTTCATCTGACTAGACGCACCGATGGCTACATCCAAAGAAGGATCTATCGGAAAGCAACATGAAGTGGACAGTACATAAATTTTCATAGCGTCATCACACTATCAAAAACATAACCTCGCACGCTGTCGCCTGAAGAAAGCAAGGCGGATCTGTTCAGAAGATACTTTAAAGGACAAACTTGAACTAGCGAGGAGAACCTTACTGGAGAATGGCTATCTGGAGGTTTATCGACTCTAATTGGACTGAACAGAATAAGCCAACAAAATACCGAATGCGAAGAAAATGCTCTTCATATAAAACTTCTATTCAAAGGTGATGTCACCACTGAGAGGGTCATTGAAATCTACGTTCAATGCCGCTCCGTTAAGATGCGCGTTCTCTACGTCACCAAACATCCGATGCTACAACAAAGATAAACTTCCTATGTTGACCTCATCTATGATTGTCTACCAATTCAAGTGCACCTGTGGTGCGACTCATTTAGGTCGAACGACAAGGCAGTTATCTCAACGGTTCAAAGAACACAATCCACGCTGGCTCACATAGGGTGGGAGTGGAGCTGTGTCAAGCTCGATCGTTGCTCATCTGGTAGAGACGGGACACTTGGTTGATATGCGCTCGGTATTTACAATCATTTGCCGAGTCTCACCAAACCCCTCGAGAGCAATACGGTTCCGGACGTTAGCAACCGCAGAGGCGATTAACATCCGACTCATGAAGCTTGAGCTGTGCGCACAACGCAAATTAATTCAAGCTCTCAAACTCCCTTGGCCAAGAGAAGAGGAAATCGCTTGTTCACACGACCATGACGTAACACCATGACTTAATAACTTTGGGTACGTGATCTAAACAGCGCACAAATTTGGAGTTCTCTTGGGCTCATTGCCAGACACATGACTCATCCACTTTGCTGTTTGAACCTATTGAAATTCTTTTATATAAATAGATATATGAAATATGAATAGAAATTCACCGAAAACACAGGTTCACCGGCATTGCATCCAAATTTCATGGAAACGAAAACTATAATATAACCTTCAAATCAGGAGAACACGAAATAGCAAACAAGGTTGATTTCGGTGCTACATGAAACGCCTAAATGCAACACAAATGCGGCAATTCCGAACCAGTTGACTGAGTCTAATTGCGCAGTCAATGTGCCTGAGGTTTTCTATCCTTTCTGTATTTTCTATCCTTTCTGTAGGGTCAAGAGTAGGTTATCCAAAGAAATGAAGTTAAGAATTTTTAAACAACCGAGGCGACTGCCATCCGTCTCTGCAAGTCCCTTGTGCCCTTATAAACAGTTTATAAGAACACTGGTCTGCCCATGGTCATCCACCAACAATCTGGTAACTTAACCTCCGTTCATGAAATCAGTCATCTATTCACTCATTTATAACCGCCCTCCATCTTCCACCTTCCACGCATACACACAGATCCGGTGGTAACATCACCAAATTATCACCCAGCGGGGATGTGTGTTCGAATATCATCATCACCACCACCTAACTTTGCCCAGTGTGTGTTGAATGGCAGCCCTTTGATTGTCGACTTCCTCCTTCCTGAAGATTGTATCTTCGTATATTCAATAAAAGGAAGTAAAGTGGATGAGAAAGAGAAGGAAAAAAAGAATTACCACAACTTCATCATCTCTTTTCACACTTTGATTTCCTTCACAGATATGTGTCTCCTCTCCCCAATTGCTCAATCTCTCATAAATTGTGTTGTATCAAACCAGTTTATGTAAGTTCTCGTGACTACTCAATCGTGAATAATTTCACAACCTCCAAATTTTCAAGAGGAGATGCTAACACTCAATGTTTCGTTTTTAAAATGACTCTTGTTTAATAACTGAGGATAAATTCGGTTATCGTTAGATTCATGTAAATTGATCTATTCCATACAGAGCTGATATTTTCATCGCAACTACGCGTTTCGTGAGAGATTCTTCAATCTTCAATGCATCAGTGTCGAGTACGAAAGACTTTTACCGGTTGAAAGTGAACAGTGATTCTTTCAAAGCTGATCGCAATCGTGTTACAGTCACTGAGGTCTGTGAATCCGCATTTACTGTATAAGAAAATGTCTCATTTGAATAATTGTGTTTTTGTTTCAGAGCATTTAAACTGTAGTTTTCCCTCAAGGTTAATTATTAGTTTCATTCCTCCGGACGATCATTCGGTGTGGTTCACAATAAGTCTTGTGAAATAGGTGCATCATGGTAAAGGAAGTCTAGCAACCACCCGCAAACGGACTCTTTGTTTGACCAATTTACTTAAAAAGCAAATAGGTTTACAAAAACAGTTCCAGTCCAGAGTTAAAACGTATGAGTCCCATATCAAAAAGTTTCAAACAAATGACCCCATGGATGAGAGAGGATTACACGACACAGTAATAGTAAGTTCTCATGGAGTTAAGAAACCATTGTGTACTTTGGACAAATACGATCATACATGGAGATGAAGAAAGTTAAAACAATACCACTATTTATAATTCTGAAGACAATTTGCCAGTTAAATCTGTTCGGGCTGTAGGTGCTTTATGATTCTACTATGATGACTTCAAAAATGATGGTTTCTATTTTCATGAACTATTCATTGGAACGCCCAATTGTTCCGTTCTCTGTACAACTTCGAATGACCAGGCGAATAACTGCTGAGCTTGAATCACTTTGTATGTGTGTGTGTGTGATTTGGGGAGGGATGGCTGATGTACGATACTGCAACTTACCAACGCAATTTCCGTCCACATTTCTCAATCCGGCCTCACACGTGCATGTTTTGTTCACATAGTCGTAACTGCATGGAGAAAGAAATTTCGATGAAACGTTCACGAGGTAGTTTGGTTTGAAAAATAACAAGAACAACCATAACAACAACGGTTATGGTGGTTTGTGTGACTACACATTTCATCTAGTCGCGCCTGGAACTCACATTTGGGTGATGGAACACGGCGACGGTACACAATCGTAAGAGCCCGGTTTGTTTGCACAGATTTCGTCATGACGGCAATTAAAACTTTTCTCGAGACATTCGTCAATGTCTGTGAATGTGTGCGGAACAACAGAAATCAGCGTGAGTAACGGACAAACAAGAAACATTTACTTAGGTCATTAGCAAATGCTCGTGCGCGCACACAGAAATAGGCAGAGAAGCAGCAAAGAGAATTCAGTTCACACAAACACACAGAATGAAAACCATTAAAGTCTCTCTTGAAGTCCTCCGCGAGGAGTGGATAAGCTAGCAGTAAATTCAAACCCACCGTCACAGCTGGTTCCGTTCGAATTGATTCGAGTTCCGTGTTCACAATTCAGTTTTTGTTCACAAATGAAATATCCCATTTGGTTCACGCATCGTTCCCAAGGTTTACACTGATCCGCACTGGAGCATTCATCCACATCTAGGGCCGGAAGGGTGTTTTGTATTTGTGTGGGGGGGAGGGGGGAAGAGTGAGGGGGTTCAGAGTTGATCCTAAAGTGCAGATTGATCTAGACATGGTTCATACGACAGAGAGATTCATAAAATGCCATGGACAGGGTCTGACCACTAAGACAGACTTTATTGAAAAAAAATGTCCACATGTATAGGTGGGTCCGTTTATTGTCGAAGAATCAAAACGCATGAGGTTGCTTTCCTTGTGTCCACAAAATGTTGATTTGTTTTAAAATGGAAATCTAATTGTAATCTGACCCATGCTAAATTCTGCACTAAGGATTCCATGGTGATTGACAGGTTCTGAATAGCGTATTCGAATAGAAGTGCCGACCATGGAGTAAAATATGATGCAACTGTCACGGAAGAACCATATGTTTTGTTGGAGAAGAAGACCCAAAAGCAGGCACTTTCAATGAACGTCCGGGCACAAACCCCAGGCTGAAAAGAAGATCTACTGAAGATACTGATGCGCATTTCCATTCGACAACCCGCATAGTGGTAAAAAATNAATTTAACATTAAGTTAGTAGTACCACGATCGTTGTAGGTTATTGAATAAAAGCATGGTTAGGACCAAAAGCCATGAATGGGACTGACACTGATCGACTTTGGAGGGTATGTTTATCAAACGAATATAGTATAACCCATTGTTGGGATAAATCTTTTGATCAACTGAGTGTGGAATGATACCAAATCAAACTGATTCAGCATTCTTAATGTTGACATCATGGTTGATTACAGGCAGCTATTTTTTCTGTCTTAATTAACTTATCTCTGAATATTTACACGTAGCATCTTGCAACGTCTTTCAGTAGAAATAAAACGTTCATTTATATTTTTTTTAATACCATATGGAGAAAATTTATTCTTTTCATAAGGACAAGTTTCAAATCCTCCAGATTGAAAATGAACTTTCTCTCTAATGCTGAACAACTGTGTGGCAAATATTGCCAAAAATAACAAGTTCTGTTATGTGAACAAAAACCTTAGGCTTCATTATTCATGATTCATTACAATCTCAACTAATTTGCCCACAGAAAATTAGTCAGACAGAATACCTTCTTACTGATTCGCTGCACGTCGTGCTGATTACCTTTCATTTGAATTATGCACTCCCACTCGGATGGGAAACAAAAGAAGCGAGTATGGAACTATCGCTACACCGAGCGAAAGAAAATGGTTCAAAGCAATTTTCAAGGTTCGACATCAGATGCTTTTTATTCGAGTTTCACATTTCAGCTGTTTCATTGTTGAACAACATCTAATGTGCTTCTGATTGGAGCAGTGGTGCACTAATTCACTGTGGTGAAACGATGTGTTTCAGTAACCACAATTCCATGATATTTGTGTGCTTTCGCCTAACTGTTTCATTCTGACGTATTTTTCCTATTTCGTGTGTTAAAATTTCGCCTCACTGGATTAACTTGATTTTTTTAAATTTCGGTATTTCTGACTGACCCAAACACTGCTACCCTCGAAACGTTTATCGTCATTGCCAACTCGAGGTATTTGTGTGAATGACCTGGCACAAGGGGAATTCAGAACCATAGTTTTCGCCTTTGAAAAATGCGGGTCAGAGCAAACAGCGTCTTTCTTCTACACGTGCAATAAGGAATTCGTTTTGGCCCCAATATCATCCACTACGATGGGGCCGATAAATAACTCGTTGGAATGTGGCCACTAATTGCTGATGTGTACACATATATGTACAAATGTGGTGATCTATGCACGAACAAGACGTGTTAGACAACTTACCTTCGCATGAATTGCTCGTTGCATTGAACATGTAGCCTGTGGGACACGGAACACAATTGCCAAACTTGTCTCGTCTACAGTTTGGGTGGTCCGGGGGATTCACATACAAAGAGATAGTTTTCACATAGAGGAAAAAGCAGGACGGTTTGTATCAAACAGTTACTTTACCCGTACGTTCTGCAGTGATTACAGAGTGCATTTCATTCAATACGTGTATTGTCTAAGATGATCCAGTTGAGTATGGGCATTTTACTATACAAACTGATGACATTTATACCAAACCGAGCATTGGTTGCTGGCTATACCATTACTGTTCAGCACGGTGTTATCTGATGAAGGTTTGAATTAAAAACAAAATGTTTTGACATTTCGCAAGAAAGATGCCCACGACCTTTCTGTGGCTAGTCGGCGGAATTTGAACCACAATAATCATCATGAGCTTTCATCATCAAATATGTCAATCAATTAAATGATGATTTTTGACAACACAGTGTTTAATTGGTTTCGAGTTAATCTATGAAACAATGGTCTATATATCTTTTTATGTCTATTAGTAGTTGAATATATAATTGCGAATCCAATTTTCAAGAAAGTGAGGTTAAAACTGCCTAGGGAATATAAAAAATAGGCCAGATAGTTTGTGGTTGAAAAATTCGAATATAGTATCTGGAGGATCGTTTCAGTGATAATCGTAACCATCAATTTACTGCCATTTCATCCGGCATTTCAAATTGCCACATCGACTGACTAGACTACTGTATCATTATCATTATCGTTAGCACTGCCAACGATACATCTCTACCCGTTTCAAATATTCGTTTTAGCAACCAAAATGACTTAAAAAAGGAAACGACTCTAAATAATCAAAATAATCAAAACGAATTCTACGCGACCTCTCTGGAATAACTGATATGAGTTATATGTTGATCACCAGACGGGAAATAACATACCTTGCTTTTCCCGGGCACTTTTGATCTACACATTTGTGACCACCTCGAACGTTGATGCACATCATTCCACGCCCGCAGATATTCGGATCGGCCTTGCATTCGTTAACATCTAGACGCGAATAAATAACAGTCAGGCGCAGAGTTCCGAACCGTCATTATTAATTTGTCGTGCTCCGTGTTTCATGCGTTAAACAGAATATTGCCAAGTGACTTGTTCGTGGAGAAAAAATCATCCCAGCAACAGTATGCAGATAGACCTATCGCTCAAGCAAATTGTAAACTGTATGAATGACCCGAATTTGCAATCAGAGAAATAAAAATTTCGTCACCGAGGACCTTCATTTTATTAAACTCGATGTGTCCAAATTGTGCTGCATGGCAAAGGCTTTTATTCAGGAGATTTAGTATAATTATCACTGGAGATTCAGACAGGTTTTTTATCATATCCATTCCGATAAAGAGGGACGGTACACTCTATCATGTTTACCCCAATTTCTCACCTGTTTAATGTTCCAAGAGGATCTAAGCATGGAAAGTTCGAGACAGTTTCATTGTTTCTTGCACATATACGGTTTCGTGAGGTGTCATGGGAAAAGAATTCGTGCTATTACAAAGTTAACACAGAACGCGCACGATCAAACAATGAAGCGGAAACCGGCTTATCGTTGAAGTCAGGGAGTTCAAATCCTGATTGAGTTTAGAGTTCCTTATGTACCATTTGGGTCAAGCGTTTGTGTTCCTCACATTAACCAAAATGGCGAAACGGAAGCGTGGTGTTCTAAAATCAACATAACAGGGTTTTGGTTTGGTCCTCTATAACACTCAGATGCAAGGCTTCTGGCTTTTATTACGATCACTAATAAATGGGCTGTTAATTGATGAAACTATGATGATACAGTCATCAACAGAGTGTTCATTGTGGTGGACCCAAATGAAAACAAGGCTTATTATTATTATGGTTTTGTAACATTGAAGGGACTTTGTTTCAACTTCACGCCAATTAGGCTGCATACATGTAACGATCACACTGTCAATCCTCCAAAAAGAATTTCCTTCGAATAGATTGCAGTTATTATGGAGATTAATCAAATGTGTTGATTGTTTTACGTTCCTGATTTTTAATTACTTGAACAGCCGTTCTGACTCATCTCATCTATCTCGAGTTTATCAGGTTGCAGTGATGACATGAACGTATTCATCGAGTCTCTCCCCAACCCAAACATGATTTTGTTTGGTTCATTGATGTGTGTACGTTTACGTGTTACGAACAAACGTATTGCCTAAGATACTAGAGCTTATTTACCTATTTAAACGGTACACAATACCGGTAATATTCAGAGAACATTGCATCAGTTTAATGAAACATTGTTTTATGCAGCTGGATTATGCAGAGTGATGAAGTCGAATGATAGGGATACGTGCCGTGATTGGGTTCTTGGATAGAATGTGATAACTTCATTTTACTAGGAGTACAGATTCAAGTCAAGTTGAGAAGCATTGCGATTCGTGTTTTCAGATTCCTTCACCTCTCCGGGCAGATTATGGTCCTCGCAATTACACATTCCATAGACCCGAACGTCTGCGAAACAGCATGAATAAAGGGACAGAGTGTTTGAGCAATCTGTCCGTGCTCAGGGATGGGAACTGTATTATTTAATCCCAGGGTTGCTGGTTCGTGTCACTGCAAGGGGCACACAAATAACATGCATACCGATAATGAGTGCTCTTTGATGAGCATCACAAACATTTCCATCGCAATCATGCAGCTTGTTGATACGTTTCTAATGAATAACACGTGTGCTATCGTGCCGGCTGATGCACATTATCAGAACACAAATCCGAAGGACTTGTTTTCTGATGTTACAATGGGATTATTCTGAAATTTGATGTACATTAATTGACGTGTATTGTCTGACGCGGGAAATCCTCCACGGAAATAGATTCAGAACTGTTCGTTATTCAAATTGAACAATTCCTCTTCCTGTTCTAATGGCAAATGTACGCATGACTTATGACAGAACATTATTTGTGCGTGAGAGATGTGGAACGGCTGATCACGTCAGCGGGATTTGAACCCGCACAGGAACTCCACCGATCGTTTTATACAACACAGCGAGTCAGACTGACAGCATCGATCTTTATTCATTCGGATTAACCATCCATAATCGAATGGCGACAGCCACAGGTTTGGATTGTGAAAATATCAATGCAGTCAGTATGGCCGCACAGTTCAGCTGGTCGTTTGTACGCCGAGAAAAAGCGTGTGGTTAGCGTGCGCGCATAGGTTCAAATCCCACCACTTCTGCTGATTCCTTTAGAACCCAAACGCCTTTCATTTGCATGCCAAACAGTATCATTTGAAAATGTTATTGGTTATTGAAGAAATTACTTAGCTTATAGGGGTGTTGGTGGTGGCATGGTGACAAGCACACATCCTTCAATTGGGCAACCGTAAGCTTCATAGTTCCTCATTTTACAGCCTGCCGTTTTGAAAGACCCACTTAATCAACTTGCCAGGGACCTTCCTGCAAAGCTGATAGTTGGTCAGCAAATCTTTTTTTTGTATTTTTCTGTGCAACAAGAGGGGGAATAATTAGTTGATTGGCAGAATATACAGGTGTTGACCAAACTCGTGCAACATCACTGATGTATTTGCAAAAATCGTTGAAATCGCGAAATTGTACATTTTAATAGCATGTGGTTAATAGAAGCAGTGACATAAGTCGATATTATATCAGATATGTTGCATCTAATGTGGGGCAATATCATATTCAGTCCCGTGAATAAGGCTGGAAAAATGAAGCATTGAGAGGAACAAATGTGACGCGAATCAGGATGTTACACGAGTTTGGTTAATACCTGTAGTTGCACATAAAACCTCTCAGCACTCAGGGATTAGGGCACAGATTCCGAAACAGAAAACATTTACTCTGAATGCTCGAGAGCATATTTTGGTCTAAGATATGCAAATTTCATTTCACCATAATCTATTCCTTCTATAAATTGGCGTCATCTAGGCATCATCTATAAAACTTGATTATTCTGTAATGAAACCCGCGCATGAATAACGTTCCACTAAATAAACAATTGTTGAAAGGAATATTTTTACTTTAGGTGATGAGAGTTTCTGGTAATCAAGGTGCGACGGTCAACCGGTTGTACATTTCATCAAAACAAACAACCTGATTGCTGAAATAAAACAGTCTTCTCGAAATGTTTTGAGGGTAGTTAATTATGCCCTTGATTTTCCAATAAGAATGGTCATAGTCGTTAAAATGCACCATAACTTGTCCGGTAGAAGTTGAAGAGAAAGAACCTGAGAGCCAGTCATAGCTACCATATGTTGTGAGATAAATGAGCAACCGCGAATCCATGGACAGTAAGCATTAAACTGTTTCAGGCCTCAGTCGAAACTGTGCGCACCGGGTAATAGCACAGAGCTGTAAATCACTAAATGCGTTTAATCGATAGTTTTCTCACCGATCGTCATGTTGTTCAACACCGTGTGTTTGTGTGTGACAACAAACTGTTTAGATAAACTAAACTGGGTGTGGTGCCTAAACTCCAAATACGTCCCAGTCAATTGTTGCACTTTAATTTGTCAGAGGTAAATACTTACGAAATGATAGAAATTTGAATAATTAGTAAGCGGTAATTTGTGTATCACTAGGTAGTTGATACTTTCACCATACATTTTTAGGGTATTGTATATCGGTAAAAACTTTACTCAAATGTTTGATTCAAAGAAACGCAACAAAAGCATGCTACCCAGATACGATTCCGTACGAATTGAGCAATTTACTTCCTAAGCCTATCTTTTCAAATACACAAGCTACGAAAATTTCGCGTCAGGCATGAAACTGTATGTTCTTTGTTTATCAATGCATTTTTCCTGTCATACTTTATTGTTCGCCCTTTATTTTCCCTGGAATATTTAAAAACGATTTCATCACTCTACTTCGCGGTTTGGTAATTATCCGCCGTGTTTCTCTTATTTTTTTTAAACACTCTGATCGCAAAATAGTGTAATTTGCATATCACTTCATGGATAATTTTGGTCATAAGATACTCAATGACCCCAGTCATCTGCTCAATCCCGATTTATCTGCTTGCCGTTCCCACGCTACAACCCGATCCAATTTTCACTGCTTACCCTCACGTAAAAACATTTATCGCAATTCTCCGGTTCCCTATCTGGCTCGTATTCTCACTGACACAGAGAGGATCCGTAACGAACTAATCTTAAATTTACAAAGATGAACATCACTTAGTTTTGTCATTGTTGTATACACTTCATTTTTTATCCTAATAAAACGGTGACCACATTTTTGACTGAAATGTAGACATAGTTGCCTGAACAAGTTATCTATAACACAATAATACAATACAATACGATACTAGCGGTGGGTACTCTCACCTTCGCATTGTTGTGTTTTTGGGTTCAGCACATAACCAAATCCGCATGGCACCTGTCGCACACACTGATAAGATCCAATTATATTTCTACATTGCTGTCCACTTCGACAGGGATTCTTTGGCAAATTGCATTCGTTTATATCTGCGAAAAAAATGATAAAAATAACACTCAGTTCAGACTGAGTTATTTTGATCTGATAACACTTATAGAGTTATCCGAGACAAAACGTTGACCCTATCTATCAGAATCTGACTATCTATTATCAAGCTGCTCACATCAGAATCAACAATCTGGATCAATTACATCGGTGATCGGCTTTAATGTGTTACTGACCATTTCTACAAACACCATTATATTAAATGCTGAATACTGTATCACTTGTAGTACTTAGAAGAATTACCGGATCTCAAGATAATTCAAATGCTTATCACCATTGGCTTGTTGACCAAAACCTATCAAATATACTCCAGAGAGTATGTATGCCCTGACCTACAAAATACTTTATTCCACCGTCAATTTTCCAACTCCCTAACCCATTAATAGTCACATATTATTGAAAATGTTAACATATACCTTTATATCTCATCGCTCAACCAATACACAAATGTGAAACCATTTACTGATCGCTAAATACCAAAGCGACAAGTCAACACGAAAGGTGTTATTTTCTTTTGAACGCGATATGTTTGCTATCCTCCTTTATCGATAAATCGGAAAGAATAAATTATACCGTTATTTCAAAGCTTTGACTAAGTAAAAGCACAATACATCATCGCTCACCAACACACGTTCCGTCGTCTGCCATCTGAAAACCTTCAGAACATGAACAACTGTACGAGCCAGGCGTGTTGGTACAAATCATCCCCTCACCGACACAGGCTTTTTCACCACTGGGCAAGCCTTCTTGACATTCGTTGATGTCTGTATAGCGGAGGAAGCAAAAACAGAACGAACTACTATTAGTTTGCCTGACATTTAATCAATTAGCCTAACATCAGAAATTTTTCTGTTTTTTTTTCTTGTTAGGATCGGTTATTCCATTGGACTGGACTGGACTGGACTGCATTAGTTCACAGTACCATTTAAGATGGGAGAATAAACGACCACCAATTGATAATTGTTATAGGACAGAGACAACTAATTTACCCCCCCCCCTCACTCCCTAAAAATTTGTGGTTATTACGTTTAATAATTTGAACTAATTCGCATGAACTGGGGCCTCTGTCGTCCTGCAGAGTATAGTTGCATACTTTTTCAAGAGTTACAACAGCGCACACGTTTTGGTGGATAATTACATGTGATCTCAGTCTATGGGTCGCATCGTTATCTTTCTTGTGGTTGTATTTCACTGGAGAATTTTGAGCAGGTTTATCGGAAGATCTTTGGTAGTTCGTGAAGTGACCCATTCGATTTTTCAGGAATTAATTCCTCTTACAACCGTTGGTTCTCCGGCTCCTTCTGAATGGCTTATAAACTGCAAATTTAAAATGTTATTTCACGGGTAAGTGACATTCAAATAATTTTTTTGCACCAAAACGGTTAAAAGGCAACTATCAGAAAGCTACTCATTTTAGTCAATTCGTGTTGAATTTTGATGATAGACACTGAGTATTGGTCCCCAAATTAGCACCACACTCTTCCGATCAGGTTTCTCACATCCCGTATTAGCACTCGCAATACCAACCGGTGATCATCTTAAAAACGTGAGATTCACGCTCTTTATTTCCCAGTCGAGTGAAATGTTTCAGTAGGACCTGTTATGTATATTGTTTTTCAGATAAACATTGACCTTGGACGTTGGCAGTTGCCGATAGCTTGGTTATGGACAACGCTTTGCACATTGTTTGCTGTACGATCATTCATGTTTTCAAACTCAGCCATCAGCAATTCTGCGCATAACCGTTGTCCGTACTTAGTATGCAATCAGCCAATAAAACTTGGTTATGTAACATTGGGTGGACCGGTTACGGAATTAGTAACGAAGAGCGTCAAATGCCAACTCAGGCATTTGGTTGAATAATCTGATTCACATCAACTTGTATAGACTCTTCATTAGGTGTCACTGTTTATTGACCAATTGAGTCGTTTGCTATCACATTTTTGCTAGATATTTGTCCTCAAAATACTTGAGATCATAACACAAACCGCCATCGATTCAAATGGGCGAATAGTGCTACTCAAAAGGCTTTGAAAACCAAGTTTTGGTAACTCGAAAAAAAGAATCCTCAGTTTTCATGAGGTTCAACTGGGAAATTTCTATCACACGCTTACATAACCCCCATGTGTTTCTCATTCAGCATACCTCAAATAAGCTGTTTCAGAGTTCGTTTATTTTGAAGGAAGATGCTGGCTGTAGGTTCCAGTTAGTTTTCTGCGAAATATCTGCACAAATTAGGCAAATGGAATTGCATGAGTCAAATCAACAGGTAATCGTTTTACCACAAACTATCCTGCACCGAACAAAACAAGGAGGTAAGCCGATTGATTGCAAATACTAACTTGTTATCTAATAGTTGGGATTTGCAATAGTGAACAACGTAATTAAAAGTACATTGCCCGTTGAATTTGCAACTGTCTTTAAGTAAATTGCATCTGATTCTAGGTGCACAAACTTGAGAAGCATTTGAGAGTAAAGAACTCCACTAAGTTCGAGTAGTCTGAGAAATCGATGTTGGCATTGAAAACATCTTTCCACTTTTCCGTGGAATTTGATCGCTAACACAAATGTGTTCCGGTGGGAAAGATCGAATAATTTTACCTCCCGCCCTGGAGAAGCGTGCTATCATTGACCAAAGGTTTCCGGAGTCCATTTTGGTGACTAACTGAAAAAAGGAAATAGTTTCTGTGGTACTTGGCTTTTACCTTTCTTCATAGGTAGTGAATCAAGGGTATAAACCAAGGACAAATAAAACGATAAATAAAGCTATGCTTGGCATTGAGATCCAGTGCAGGTAGGGCATATACTCATGGAACTACGAACTTTATAATTTTACGTCTTAAATGCGGGATGGTTTTAAACTAGAACAACAATCAATTTCATATGGTGTCTGGAACCTGCAATAACTCGCTGTTTCCAGAGCAATCACATTTTTTCATCAAATCATGAATTTTCGAAGCTGGTGATTGAAAACTACAGTCAACACGATTGAACACCAGGCCATGGATATTAATAGCTGCTAAATCCTTATATGCAATCTCATTCTAAACGAGCTAGCATAATTCGGCTTTCATTGAATACATGTCTCTCACTATACATATGCGTATAAATATATATATATTTACCACTGGCTTGCGGACAACCATAGTGCCAACGACACAACACTAATAGCAATAACCAGAACATGGGACAAGTGGACTGAGATACCGAACAGGGTAACTGGATTGTGGAACCGGTTGCCGCTGTCAGTGGTAAGCTGCAGTACTATGAATGATTTTAAAAAAGCACTTGGTGAGTGCTGTAAAGCGGTTTTACTTGAGGTGAGGGTTTAGCTTTAGCTATAACCTAACGACAAGTGATGTGATACTGCACCACATATTTCTGCTTTTCCGAAAAATTGCATATCGAAGTGTTAGAAGTGAAGGAAACTCGCCGACAACACACCAATATGGACGCTCATATGGGCAAAGGCCACAATTCGTTCGGAGAGAACCGAACTGAACGAAACTGAACAGAAATAAAAGAAGGTGAAACAGTTACATTGGGAAACAGCAGATGACAGGAATAACAACAAACTTCTGTGTTTCACTGTACACTTTTAGATTTTTTTTTGTGTTAGTCTTATTTTCAAGTGGCACGGGATTTCGACAGACAAACCGGACAGCATTTACGCCACTGACTTCTATTCTGGGCCGTATCTCTCAGTTTCGCTAACCTACTACAATCCTCCTTCCTTGGGCCTCAACCTAAAAGGCGGGCTGCACCAACCAAAGCCAAAACTGAAGCTAGCTTCTTCACACCTCTACGCCATGTCAAGGTCTGACCGCTACGGCGCTTCTTCCAGCCTTGTCCGTCACGTACAAATCTTGCACGAAAAGATAGTCGAGGGGTAGGCATACGCAGGCATACGTGACCGAGCTATTCGAGGCGGTGTAGAGCGAATACTTCCGTTAGAGAGCGACTATCCACACCCAACACACGACGACGAACCTCGTCATTGCTCACCCGATGTTCCCACCAAACTCAAGCAATGCTTCCGAGATATCGGTGGTCGAATACTGGAAGTCGATGAGCATCTTCCGCCCGGAGAGCCCATGATCTCGCAACCGTAAAACAGATCGCTACGAACTGCTGCGGTGTACACCCTTCCCTTAAGAGACAGTCGGATTTCATGGCGGCGCCACAGGTGTCGCAGGTTGGTGAAAGCTGCTCTAGCTTTCGCTATTCCTGATGTGATCTCCTCCCCAACACCAACACCAGCTGCGATCAAGTTCCCGAGGTAAGTAAAGCTCTCAACTACTTCCAGCTGATCACCACAGAGGGTAAGCGCAGGCACAGACTCTTACCAGTTTTGAACAATCACTTTGCACTTGGGAAGTGCAAAGCGCATACCATACCTGGATTTCTCGATCGCCAAGCGGTTCAAAGCGCTTTGGGCTGCCTTTGTATCGTTACCCAGGAAGGCAATATCATCGGAATATTTTAAGTCAAGGACTCTTTTCCCTGGGAGGAGTTCAACTCCCCCGTTTGCAAGACCAGACAAAGCATTCCTTAGAACATCCTCTATGAGAAAATTGTAAAGGAATAGGGATATAGGGCAACCTTGCCGAATTCCACTGGAGACGGAGAATGCTGGCAAAAGCTGGCCATAGGTCCTAACCCGACTCGAGGTACGACGGTAAAACTGTTTCAGGATGGGAACCTACTTTTCAGGTACTCCATTTCTCAATAAACAGTTGCATAGTGCGGTCCTATCGATGAAGTCGAAAGCCGCTCGGATGTCTAAGAATACAATGATCTTTGGTCTTTGATATGCATGACAGTGCTCTAGCAGCTGTCGGAGGGTGAAGATTGCATCGGTGCACCCACGACCGGCGCGAAACCGAGCCGCATAGTGTATAACTGACGGAAAATTACGGATGCCAACAGCTTTTACTCTATTAGGATTAAGCTTATACACCTATGATTGGCGCAGTCATTGCGCGGGCCTTTTTTGAAAATGCGGATCACAATCGTTTCCCCTCACTAGGATCGGACCTGCTCGGAGTTTCAAACGTTATATAACGGAAATTCTTTCTTCCTAAAAGGCGTTATTTCACCATCTTCAATTAGAGGTGGTGGAAGGCCATCGGAGCTCCGTGCTTTGTGATTTCCCAAGGCTTGGATCTCCTTACCGATATCCGCCCCAAAATGTGGGTCTGTTGAGACAGACCATGAGACGTTTGCCGAAATAGCTGTGTGAGAAGCTGTGGNAGCTAAATTGTGCTTTGAAGTGCCCCGCCCAGTGTGCAAGGCGTCGCGGTTGATTATAGATGAGCCACTGTCAGTTTCGCAGATCGTTTCGCTCATATCCAAGGCTTTCCTACCGGTGGCCAGGGACGAGATGGAACAGCTTACGGGAATTACCCATGGTGACAGCAAGTTGCATCTCTGATGCGCGTGGAGACCACCAAATCTCGTGGTCTCTGCGTAGGCTGGCATTAAGTTCACGTCTAATCACGAGTCGTGTTTCATTATGTTCGCTGCCGGTCGGAATTCACTGATGTGCGTCAAGAAGACGTAGAGACTCCGCAGAGATCCAGGGTGTCACGGCGCGACGTCTCAGAGCACAAATAACTAAGCCAGTAGAATGTAGAGCGTTCTTGATAAGCTACCACTGCTGATTAACATCAACGTTAACCTCAATGAATGCCTTTGAGATGGGCAAAGTTCAATCAATAACTCAATCAGTCAATCAATCAATCAAGCAACCAGTCAATTTGTCATTCACTCAGTCAGTCAATCCATGAAACTCCTCTAAGTAGCTCTGATCATTGGATCTTAAAAGTGTGTCCCACAGTTTACAGAAACACTAACCGGGACACGTTTTTAAGAGGAATTAAAAGGTTGATCAAATCTGAAATTAATCTTTTAAAGAAGTTGTACATAAATACTGTAATGGGAAACTTCAGTTGTCATTACACGCGGAGAGCTGTTAAACTCCATTTGGTAGTACAAATCAACTGTCGAAGTCGAAAGACTCAATTTCGAGTTTAGTTCAGTTCCGTAGTGCCCAAACATGCCAGACGTCGTCAGCTCTACACCACCATCAAATATCGAACTCGCTGCGGTCCCCCGATAGCAACAGAAAACGGAGATGAACAAAGTGGCTGATTCAGATGAAAGGTCAGTCGTGGTAATAAAGTTATGTGCAAACACTCGGTCCCGCTAGCTAACATATTCAATGACTGTTTGATATGTCGAAAAATTCCTGAAATTTGAAGACTGGCCTGGATAATTCCCATCCCATCGCCTGCACATCAGTCATAATCAAATTATTTGAGAGATGCTTGCTACTGTGGGTTGTCACCGAGCCTGCCGAAGATGACACATCAAGTTGCATATCGTTCTTCGTGCTCAGCACTTGCTGCCGTTGCTTGCCGTTGTTGCCATTGTTTGCCCAATACTCTTAGCTCTAGATAAGAACTGTAAGTCTGCCAGAATGACATTGTCAGACTACAAAAACGCAATCGTCAGTCTTGATTGATTCATATTGTTCAGTCTGGTTACCCGAAGTGGTGCTAACCCGAACGTTTGCGGATTTATCCGCGATCACTCCAGGGATAAAAGGTATTTCACGTGCCTAAAGGACAAAACATCTGCTAACCACCCGGTTTCCTCTGGTGCTCTGCAAGGTGAAATTTTTACCGTTTTTCTTTTCAATTAGTGTCAAAATATTTCACTTTGCCTCTACATTCATTAACTGTAAAGTTAAGAACGAGGTTATTTTAGGATGCAAAGCACCTACCCCTAAGGAGATTTCACAAGTTCAAAGCAAACTGAACGACGTTATTAGTTAGTTCCTGTCCCTGCCTCAAAATTTCAGGATTTTAATTTATCCCTATTGACTGATAAATCACGTTCAACCCTCACAAATAAGTTTTCTACCCTTTCTACCAATCATGAACAAATAACAACATCAACACTGGCAAAATACCTTGGCATCGCACTATCACACAACTTACCATGGCCACTGCACGTTCAGAAAACATTTAGGAAGCTTTCGTGAACGCATCTGCATTCTCCCACTGGTTGTACTTAGCGATTTCCCCCCGTTTTGACGAAAGCTACTTTTATTTATTGGCAACATCCCTAAAAGACAACTCTCAATGTAGTGGCATCACTAGAGATAAACTTGTTGACAATATCACGAAAAGATACATACAAACACATGGAAAGCCTAGTGCCAAAATACTCTCAAACACTTATGAACCTTCAAAAGATATATCGATATCTTCCACACGCTCAAGGTTCCAACTTTCGAATTAAAGCAGGAAAATTTACCACAAATATTGTATTACCTGGCTGACCCACCAGCCTTTTGTCATCCTTCGAAATGATAACTTCAAAGATTAAACTTATTTGTCAGACTCAACTAATTTATCAGAGTCATCATTTAGTGATCCTGTTAAATGGCTTCNATGGCTTCAAACCACCGTGGAATGAGTGCGCTTACGTTAGGAATGAATGATCGTGTACGGTTTCATGTTTTCTGAAATCCTTACTGGGGTGTTAACCCAACGCACCTCTTTTGGTTGACTTGTTTCCTATCGATATACTGATAAAGGAGCACACGCAATTGGCATACTTGTTTTCCTTTAGAGACACAAAATATAAATAGGTAATGGCGACATCAACTATTTTCTGCGATAAAAATTGACCTTTAATTATTTGATGCTTTCAGCCATTTATTACGGTGAATTGTAAATGAGAGTTCCCAATGCGAATCAAATAAAGTTTGCTTTGACTGAGGGCGTATTGATAGTCTAGTAGCTTTACACAATACTATACAATACCATACAATATAATACAGTGTCATGAACCATTTATTGTAGGTTATTTTCACATTTTTTTCTAAAAGTTGTATTTTCAATTTGGAATTTTCTGGCATCAAAAAGAATTTCTTCCATTTTGGTTTTGTAACTGTCTTTTTCAACTCTACTACTTTATGGTTACATTTTCGAGGCCCAACACAAGCAATTTAAGCCAATATGAACGGAAACAACACAAATAAGAGATTCGCCCAAAGTTCACAAACTTAGAACTCCACTCAGACCAATGCTGTGAATGCAAAACTCGCCTTATCACAAGCTAGCCCGATGGCTGGTAGACATACTTGATCCCATTCGTGAGCCTCATAGTGTGAAAGATTCTTTTGATTTCTCTAATATTTTGGAAAAGATGACAGTATACCAATAGATACTGTATTCGATAGATGTGGATTCACCTTTTACCAATTTACCACTGTCAGAAACAATGAATTTTGTATCATTATATTTGCTCAAGCAATTGTCCTCTTGAATACTCAAGAGAACTTGTTCTTATATATGAATAAAACATTCGCTTTCAGTTTGAAGGGGCCACATACAAACAGATCGATGGCGTGGCAATGGGCAGTCCACTGGGGCCCATTTTGGCAGATGTTTTTCTAGGCATGATTGAGAAAAAGTTAGGTGATAATTTTTTGGCGGCGTGACATTGGGTGGTTCCTTTGGGTCCCATTTCGGCAGATGTGTTTCTTGAACTAATCGATGTGGATGAAATTTTTGTTCTCTCGGATAATGATCATTTCAAAACACCGTTACAACAATTTAACTCAGTCCATTCACGTCTCCTTGTATCTCATGAAGTACAAACCAACAACACTTTGCCATTTCTAGATATAAAAGTTACTAGGTGAATACATGGGATATTACAACACTCATTTTGCTAAAAGGTGACATGAAATGGCCAATACCCAAACTTTTCCGGCTTTTTCCCATGGCTTACAAACATGGGCTTATGAGAATCCTATTTCATTAAGCACGAAACATTTGTTTTCCAGATACACTAAATAAAGAAGCGGATTCCTAAGGAGAATATTTCTAAACAATAGCTGCTCAGAAAGATCTATTGGTATTCACTGTAGATCATTCCTAAAAGTTAGCCCTACAGAAAACGTGAGCAAAAAGGCCATCTACTTAAAGCTTGCGTTTTAAGGTGATCATATTCACGATGATGTGCTCCAGAAGTTGAGATCAGCTCTAGACAGTACATTCCCAGCTGCTCAACTCAGACCCATTACCCCCTATTCGTGGAATTGATCTGGACAAACGTAAAGGAGGCTGGAAAAACCAGTCCCGTCTCACACACTGCATGTCAATTCATCTGCAGTTGCACAGACGCATACATAGATAGAACAAACCGTCAGCTCTCACAACGGTCGGCCGAACATAATCCAGAGTGGTTGGTGAGATCGATGATGCAACCGATAATTGATGGTCAAGTAATCACAAGACATCCAGGGTCATCTGTCACAAAACATATTATGACAACAAGACACATGGTTGGCCCCAATCCCATCTTTCATATCAATATTATGCAATCGCAATGCTAAACGTTTGGCAATGATTGAAGCGCTGCTTATTCAATCACATCAACGATTCTTATGTGCATAGAAGGTTTTCATACAATCAATCCATTTACCGTGGATTTGATGGGTGATGAGTATGAGGGGAACTATGCAGCAACAACAAATCACTTGTCATCTGTTTTCTACCAACTGACTGTTTTTTGAACCGCTTATACATTCTGGCTGATGACCTTTCATCAAATCTAAAGTTTTTGGGACAGCACCAGATTTGTTCTATTTGCTCTTTTCCTAAAATATCAATTTTTCCAGATAACTGTGCAGTTTACCCTTGCATACTTTGCATAGTACTCTGAACGAGAACAAATAACACAAAACTTAACTATGAAAATAATAACAAATAAGGACAAAAGCGGACAAATAGCCACTCCCTTTGCAATGGAAATTAGTACGTCATGGCAGATAAAAATGCTGCTCATATGTGCTAATAAGAACAAGCAAACATCTATCCAGTTGATATAGACACTGAAAAGTACACCGCAAATGAAATACGCTGAGTAACTGTGGAACATGACGATTCCGAAGGAATAAAGCCACGCCCAGGATTCGGATAGAAAACTATCCCCAGAACCTGTGAAAACTCGAATAGTCTAACCCAAAAATAACAGTGTAACGTAATACGTTTTCGTAGTGCTGTACCATCGGAATGAAACCAACCTACCTGCACATTCATCCTGAGATTCATCAAAGTGGTAACCGGCTGCACAGGAGATATTCTCCGTTAATCGTTTTGTGCATTTTTTCGTAGTTTTGCTCAAATACATCCCGATTGGACAGGCTGTGATCACGCGTACACAGAGCTCCTGATCCGCGTCCCAAACAAAATTTTCCGCACACAATACCTCCATCGCTTTTGTAACCGTCGGGGTAACCTCTGTGGCTGGCTTTTTTGATGGAAACATAGATGGCATATCGATCCCACCGACCATGGAAAATTCAAAATCATCGGGAAAGTCTCCCGGGGGCAGATTCAGCATCGTGGTTTCCGTTGTTGGAGCTGGGGTGTTGATGGGATTCACGGTGGTTATCGGGCCATGTTCTGCTCCGGGATCATCGGACATTTCTGAGCGTCCCTTGTGCATTGTACCTTTGTAACGGGTGACTGAGGGAGAAAATGAAGAAAAAGGTCAATGTTGAACCATCGACTGATTAACTTACAAGTACCTATTGTTAGCTCACAGTGGAGGTTTTCGATAGACTGTGAAGTGTGACAACGTCACCAACGGGAAAGAAAATTTATGCTGAAAAGCTGAATAAATAACTGCAAGTTAGTGTTAATGGATCTTGGAGAATAAAAACATGTGAAGCCGTCCGCAAAACTGTGGAAATGTCAATGAAGAAACGCTGTCAATTTATTTCAGTAGTACCGATAATAATTTTTTGTTCCATAGATGTAAAGGCTTGAGAGTGAACCCACCGAAAACACGTTTGCCTACGTTTTGTGCTCTCATGTGATCAATAATGAAAGAAAATAATTATTTAGGAAAACATCTAAACACATAATACTGGGGTTAATCGTATCTGGCAGTCAGGGATGAGATTCATAATGATCATACAGATTGCTTGTGTCAACTGCTGTATTTCTGGACATACGACGTTCAATTTATTTTGGTTTCCGAGATTTATGAACAAAAGACGGTGTTTCTGCTTTATAAATAATAATCACGTCTCGTCGAGTCAAACTAGAAAACGCGTAACTCAGATTATCCATGCGCACACGATGTACGGACAACATTCTTTGAGTGATGAACGCAAAGTCGGACCGAAACGAACCTGTGAATAATTTTAACTAAACACATTAAAACATATCGTACACTCTAGAGACGTAAAATAACAATAAATGGAAATTTTGAGACAATTGCCTCAGTGACGTATTTGGTATAAACAATAGGCAACGCATACAGCCTTGCCACGGTCAAATTTAAAGGGATTTGGTTTTTCTGCCTTGCCGGGGAGTAAAGAAGATTTGAAATCAAGACACCGTGGAACAAAACCTCGACTTCCTGAGCTCTATCCTCCCACGCGATAGGTGTCCGAAACACTTAGTTAGCAAAATGAATCACTACCAAAGACTAGGGTTAGGAAGAAGCTAGTCTCAATTTGTTTGCCGTTCAAGGAGTATATACACTATCACAAATAAAACTATCTCACACTCGGCGAAGCTCGATGTATTGTTCACGTCTGAGTCAGTTGAGCTTGTCTATGTTGTCTATTACGCCACTTCATTCTGTGTACCCTCATTTTTTTCCGATGCAACACTGCATAACCGAAAATTTTTTCTGAAATGCACAAGCCCTTTAGTGGTTGATGAGCGACTTTGTACAACGTTTTTTATTCTAGTCTTTTAGTCAGTATTGCAGTGGTAGTTATTTTTTAGGTAAATGTTTGTATGTCTTACTTGCTAGAGCATAGATATCAATACCAATGCGATCGGGTAAGTTTACAAAAAGATTCGTCAACACCAATCTGCGTTGCTGAATCCCGGAAATGTCTGGTCACTGAATGAAGCAGGATTTTAACAGATGAATGAAAACCATACTACGTACGTAACTAAATCAACCTAACCCCTGCACAAGAAATGCAATGGACTAGCAAGGCAGGTTTGTTGTGGTTTATTGACCACACCGACAGCAGTTCATACTGGCGCGTAAGCTCTTCTGGCTTCCCCAGCACAGTCTGAGTAATCTTGATGCTGGTTGGAACAAACAAATAACTACATGATCATTGCAATCCCATATCCGAGGTTATGATGAAAACGAACTTACAGTAATATGTGATTGAAAGTCCCCCCTACAAAAAAAGATATTCTTTGTCATTGATGACTTATATTATTTATTCACATGCCAGTTTAGTTATCCCTTTGTGGTCCATTTACCACTTAGTAAAATCGTCAGTAGGATAGTCATGTTCATCATTGATTCTGCAAAACAGAGAGATCTACTTTATACCTCCTTCATAATACGATACCAGAACAAAGAGACTGTATCTATTGACCTCTTCCAATTTATTGACACCAGCTGTTCAACCGGAAAATGGGTCATCTAATCGATCAGACCGATGGGCAAGAAATGTTCTGTTGACCGTTGCTATTTGAAATCTAGCCTTCGTTTACTTTTGTTATCAAACCTACGATAAAAATTCATGGACTGCAGTATGCGCATGCACAATATCAGCGAAATGATCCCGGGCACAGTTTGCAAACCTTTGTTTCCGAATTTTCAATTGGCATTTCTGACGACAAAGTAGCTTTTTCGAACTGGTTTTCCATGAATACTATGTGGCATGGCTCCCAGCCAGATCCATGATTGATCACTGACTATCTTCATGCGGAACCATTTTGAGCATTTGATGTGTCGTCATAGTTGTGTCCACTGGGCAACTTGGAATATTTTTAGTCCGCAGCTGATGAAATATCTCATTCAAATACTCTCAAACGGGTACGGTTCTTTAATTCAAGTTTTTATTCTGAATAGAACCAAAAAACTAAAACAAGGCGGCAAAACCAAACTTGAAATCCCGATCAGAGAGCATTAAAAAAATTCTCAAGTGGCTTGGGGAGGAACTATAAATAATGGGAAGTTCAAACCTTAAAATTTGTTAAATTTAGTTCATCTGATCTATTCTTTCATTAAATTTGTAACAAACACAATTTTATTTTATTTCATCACAAAGCATCTGAAACGGTCTTGAGTTTTGAAAGATGAAAGGAATTTGTAAGTTGAATTTAGTCGTTCAAAGCATGAAAATTTAGCAGAAAGCAACGTGAACAAGTTCGTAATTAATTTCTTCATTTCAACTGGAACGATAGCTAAGTGGATGCCATTTACATTGAAGCCCAATCTCCCGATGAGGTTTATTATTAAATGTTTCGATATATGGGTTCACCGGAAATGAAACTTCAGTCCCAGATTTCTTTTATCGGAAATAGACATATTATCTCTCTCCACATAGACTAGATAGGCACAAAGCCACACGGATTTATTGTTACCCGAATATAGTCCGGAATATATCACCTGCATTCAAACACCTTTACCTCTGATATAACGTTTTGCACTTTATCGGATTCAACACAGTTTTACTATAAAGCTAACCCGATAAACACTCGATAAAAGTTCTCAGGAAAGGATCCAATCATAACAAGGATACGATGAAAATAATGTAAAATCCGATGAAAGACAGTGATATAACTGACGAGAAGAAGAAAATGGCGGACATTGAGTTACGGATTGTATAAACCTCAGATCTAAGATGAATCGGGAGCATATAGACTAGTTAGTGTCTAGCTCAGTGAAGTGTCTTTCACCCAGTACACATCTTTACAAACTGCTTAAGGTTCACCCAAAGGAATTATCATTAGGACCTATCTTTGTCGTTGTTGTGCCAGAACCAAACCATAAAGTCTTGCCAACTTTGAGAGTAATATCCGAGAGAGAAAACTAAAGATTTTGTACTCAGACGCATTGCTCCCGCTCAATAATGCCCTAACTTTGATGGCATCTACAGTTTCTGTTGTTTTATTGATAGTGAACAAATAACTCCAAAACTACGAAATAGGATTTGAAGGATTACTGTTGAAAAACACTTGCAGTGTTCACTTTCTGCTTTGCACGAAATCATATGATCAAAGTTATGGAGTAGCCATGGGTTCCTCATTATTTTTATCATGGTTAAATGCTATATTAATGGCTAAATTAGAAAATGCAACGGTGAGTGAGCAACCGATTTTTAGCTACGCGAGAAGAGAAAAGTTCAAATAAGGCATGCTTCGATATTTCACAGAGGTCATGAAATAGATACGTTTAATACTTAAGTGATGTATATGTTCCGAGCAAGCGATGGATATCGAGAATGCTGAATACAAACCCTAGCAGGTTAGCGTGAAAACTTTCACCGCTTTGGTCCAACTGGACTAAGAGGAAATTTGATTCAGTTTGGCACCGTCTGCTTGCAAAATTTACTTCGGCGGGGCTTCAGATGAAAAACTGACAAAAATCAGTGACCCTATCCGAGTAAATGGGCAATCCGAACTAATCACCGAGAAAATATCTCGGGTTTACGAAGCTCAGCAAGAGAAATTACTCACAGGTGTCCTTTATAATGGTGACGTGATGTCTCATCAGAATAAATAGTGTGCGTATCAGATCGAACTTGTAGAGCAACTTGACTATCATGCTTGTTCACAGGCGTAATCATTGTTCGAAGGAGCTACTTGGAGATCTAAATATACTAGAGCATTAAAATCCCACGTGGCTCAAAATACGAGACAACTGCTAAAAGGACGAATAAACGGTACTCGCACTGGATTACACATGGACCATAGGAAGTACCATTCTAGATAAAAACCGTCCAGTAAGACAAAAGTTCACGTTTAAAGTAAACTGTTGAGTGCTCCCTCGATCTCTCTACAAAAGGCACTTGTACTCGCTGAACGCCATTCACAGGTAGACATTTACCTTAACGTCCTCAAATTATATGCACAAAACGATCAGTATTGACTACCTATTTTCACTGACCCCAAGAAGCTGGTGATCATTTTCATCGTTAACCCTATAGAGCCTGACGTTATAGTAGTGGAACCGAAGGATTTGATTGCAATCTAGGGTTTTTATGTTATGCAAAATAAATATGACCAATTTTTAGCAATCAGATATACTGTACGTATACCATGAAGTGTAAAGAAGAGCAGGAAGGCACCTGTCATGGGAGCAGTGGACCACGTTTGATATGATGAGGATAAGCTATCGGAGTCGATAACTGTACTTGTATGAAGTAGTTTGAACACTTCTCTAGGAAATTGGATTATGTGAGCAGTATCCTACGAAATGCATAAAACTAGAGGGACCTATGAAGATGATGTTTACAGATTCTGCCGTATGGAAGCTGGAAATCTTTCTGCAGATGTGTGTTACTGTTTTCGCTCAGGAATTTACAGACATCGGAAGAATAAATCCATTTCATTTTCTTGCTATTTATGTCGGAAAGGATCTGACCACTGATGAATCTCAGACTTTGTACAAGTGCTTTTGGGATCTCTCAAATGATTTTGCTGTCTTCTTGAAGTTGGAAACTGTGTCCGGTTGGCACAAATTGTGACTACCATGGTACTTTTTTGTAAAACAATTAAGCATGACTGTGAATCTGGAAAACCGCGAACGAGTGAAAAATCCGAAAAATCTAGCACCAGTGCTTATACGTGAGACTAACCATGAAAGTGTTTACACAGAAATAATTCTGATTGTATAAAACGAAAAATAGTGGCCATAATGAATGACAAATCTTCCTTGCAACCTGCCCCCCTTAAAATTTTCATAAAAGCAAGAAAAAGCATCATGCTCAAAAAATGAGTTAAATTCCTCTATTTCGTGGTAATCTCATCAGCTGCGTACATACATTCAGATCACATCAATCATTGATGTATAAGCCTAATCCCAATGGAGTAAAAGCTGTTGGCATCCGTAATTTTCCGTCACTTATACACTATGCGGCTCGGTTTCGCGCCGGTCGTGGGTGCACCGATGCAATCTTCACCCTCCGACAGCTGCTAGAGCACTGTCATGCATATCAAAGACCAAAGATCACTGTATTCTTAGACATCCGAGCGGCTTTCGACTTCATCGATAGGACCGCACTATGCAACTGTTTATTGAGAAATGGAGTACCTGAAAAGTAGGTTCCCATCCTGAAACAGTTTTACCGTCGTACCTCGAGTCGGGTTAGGACCTATGGCCAGCTTTTGCCAGCATTCTCCGTCTCCAGTGGAATTCGGCAAGGTTGCCCTATATCCCTATTCCTTTACAATTTTCTCATAGAGGATGTTCTAAGGAATGCTTTGTCTGGTCTTGCAAACGGGGGAGTTGAACTCCTCCCAGGGAAAAGA